ATGATAACTGTAAGGTGCAAGACTGAGTATTTATAGTATTTCTAGAAATGCAATGAAAAAATAAAAAATTTGCAAGTTTAAGTTTATTTGGTTTATTTCTTTTTTATTTTGAATATTATTAATCATTGTTTACTGAAAATCAAGGTGATCAAATGTAAAATTGCTAGACAGAGATGAGTAAACAATAGGTTAATGTCTTTTAATCAGTTTAAATTATAAATTTAAGATTGACATCTAGTGCACTAATTTACCTGTTTACCTTTTTGAATAGTTTAATCAAATTAAAATTCATTAAACAATGACTAATAATATTCAAATGAAAATAGATATAAATCAAATAAATTTATACTTGTGCATTGATTATTTGTTCATTTTGTTTCTAACAATACTATAAATACTCAAGATTTTACCTTAAACTTATCACAGTTCGTCTCAAGTTCACTGATTCATTTGTTTTCAATTTAGTCTTTGTCAACTTTAATCCACTATAACTAAAATGAATCCCCAAATTCTTAAAGTGTTTCTCTTTGTGCTAATGCTTTCAATCGTTGTTGGACTATCTTCAGCTTACAGTTACACCAAAAAACCATTAACACCTGAAGAGCTTGCAACTGCACGAGCACAGCTGTTTGCAGCTTTCCATCGAGGATAATCAATATGTAAAATTTTGAAAGATTTGACTATGAATAAATAATATTAATTTTACCTTTAAATTATCATTTTCTATTATTTATTATCAATTTTTCCTCAAAAATTATATCGCAAACTCATATTATCGGATTTGAAAATAATATTTTTAGTAAAATTTGTAGAATCGGCAAATCTGTAATTTATTGTTTCGGTAATTCATAATTTAAAAATTTCATTTAAACAAGTCGTATTTTTCCGATTCCAGGTATCGATGGAATGTTTATCTGAAGATTATTCGTATTCATTTGAATGATTTTTGTTGAATTAGTATGCTTGGGTTTGCAATTAATATCACTCATTTAATTTAACTTCAATTTGTAGATTTGTCAAAAGTTGATTTTTTTTATCAAAAATTTTTCGCATGATTAATGCATCCAATGATGTTTTATCCATCAATTCATAGGCATGGTTGCAAAGTTCGCGTCGAGCAAAGTGCTTATCGGAATTTCGATACACAAATAAATACAAATCAGACATCATTAATTTTCCTTCTCTCTACTGTCAGCAAGTTACTCCAAGTGGCCTTAAGCGTTTGCATTATTATTCTGCGAACTACTGAAGCTCATGGTCTAAAACCATCAACTGTTTGAGGGCTATGACTGCAAAAAGTCGTAAAAGGAATAAACGCCCAGTAGTGTGAAGCTCATGATCAAGTAAAATATGTCAACAGAAATAGTTTATGTGCGACCTTTTCATTTGTAAGTTTTCTTTGATAAAATTCAAATCCAGGAGATTATTTTAGTCATTAGATATATCGAGGGAAGTATCCCAGGTGTCTCAATAATTTTGGTTAAGACCATATGCATTCGATAGAGCACAAAAAGCTATTGTTAACGTCCCCCGTTTCGGAAACTTTCGGATCACGAGTAAATTGAGGTCAAGAATTCGATTTTGGTCGAAAAAATGCAATTTCGCAATTTTTTCAACTCTATTTTTTATGCATGTACCAAGGTTTTCCGACCAGAAAAAACGAGTTTCAGTTTTTGTACCCCTTCAAATCTCCAAAATCCCAACTCTTAATTCGAAAGGAAAATTTTTTGTATATTCCTTTCATTACCGAACTCAGCGTTGTAAACTGTGGAAAAATTTCAGTTCTCAACTTGAAAGTATGAAAAATGTTATTATATGAGTCCTTTGCTTGCTTTATTAATTTGGTTCAATATTTTGTTCCTAATTAATCCATTTTTCTAACTTAATATTGTATACAGTTAAATATGTTCATGTTTCACCTTGTCAATCAGTCAACCTAGTTCTAATCCAGATATAACATTGTGGTTAACCGTTAACCTTTCATTTTCTGGTTAACCCATTACACAGTCATGTTGCTTTGTTTTCTTCTGCTACCTTTTCCTTCCACTTCAATTCATATTTAAATTTCAATCAAGTTGATTATTCAGTTAATTGGCAGATTTATTGTATCACTGGAATGTTTTCACATCGCCTAATGTAATAATGATTCTGTTAACAAGATTGCAATAGAAGTACTCTTCAATTGGTAAGGAATCAAATGAAAAGACATGATAAAAATTGGATTCTCTTGCGACAAAAATGTTTCTCTCTATACGCAAAGCCAATCAATGGATGTTATTTTTACCAAAACATATAAACTTATTGTTGAAATGTGCTCAACATCAGTGCATAAACCATCATTGACATCATTTTATCCTTTCAATTCATTGTGCTTTTAATGGTTCAAAAGAAACGTAAATGTTTTCTTTTGCTCTCTTGGTGATTAATATTAATTATTATTACATCTTTTTGTATAAGGGTATGTTCATGATGCTCCATGTGTAATGTATTTTTAATATATCATTACATATATTGAAAGAGAGGAGCGTGAAAAAGTGAAAGAAAATATTTGTTGCAAACTCAGAATTAGATTAATGTTTGAATATTTTTCCTTCTTTCACTTACCGTTGCTCAAGTATTGAAAAGAAAGCTGGAGAAACAATTTTGCGCTGAGTCAATCAAAGTCAATATAAATCATGTAAATCAGTGAAATGTGAATAACATTCACTCTCAAAGTAAACCTGTGTATAATTATCACAGTCTATCCTTTTCACACAGCAATTCATGGTAATAATTTTCCTCAGAGAATCCAATTTACAAGTTTACTTATCAAATTATCTAATGATAAAAATAATTTCATCTCTTTTTTATTCAAGTAGCAACTTGGCATAAAAGGATTTCCACCAACAATTACCGGAGAAAATGCTGTTAACCTAAAGATTGGATCCTAAATTGAAGTCAACTGTAGCTGTAACTGCATTTCAATTGCTTTTTTCGTCTCTTTCAAATTCTGGTTCCAATTAAAATTGAAATTTGCCATTTTCATGATTTATCCATGTAAATGGGGCGAAACTCGTCAGATTACCAAATTAAATGGATCCAACAATTCACTGGTGGGTCGTTGTTGGTTCAATTCCTTTTGAAGTAAAAACTGGAAATCCAAATGTATTCCAATTAGGATGTAATATATTGATTGTAATTCACTTTGGCCAAGAAATGCTGATTGGATTTGTATCTTTATATCAACAGTTATTACGATCATCAGGAAACAAAATGCAAAATATTCGTCTCGATGGTAAATTAAATGTTGACTATGAATTTACTTTGCTGGCTTTCGATACAACTGGTTGGCCAAATGCTGTTCCTGGTAATGAAATTACAATCTTCAATTACTTCAGAGTTGTATTTTTCTGGTTACTATTCGTCTATAGAGTAATACTTATTTACTCAACATTTGTATTATAACATTAATCATATTTACTCATGATAATGTAAGAACCAAACAAATGGTTTACAATGTAAAATTTCAATTGAACATGAGAAATGAGCAACAACTGACGGAACAATTCAATTCTCTTTTCTCATTAGCATTCAATTGATTTGACTTAAAGACATAAAAAATGTTTAAATTTGTGGTTTAATTAAACGGCACTAACAAATCAAAATCATCACTAATGGTTGGACTTCATTTGGGCGAATGCATTTCCCAAATGTAAATTAGTGTAATTAAATTTTGAAAAGATACAAACAATGGTTCAAGTGCTTTTCTTGTGAAGGCAGACGAAGAGAAACGTGAAATGAAATGATTCAAAGAAAAGTTAATTAACATTGTCAATTAGAGTTAATCGCATGTAATCAATTTGAACAAAGCATTTGAAGTCATTGTTGATAAAATGAAAACAGCAAAGACAAGTAAAATACAAAAATAATCCTCACTGTACTTTAACCAAAGGCAACAAAAATTTACCTGCAAATTATACTTAAATGTAAATTCATTTCATTTCATCTCATTTCTTTTCATGAACCACACCAATTTATCTCTTTCCCTTGACTGCAATGAGAGGGAGTAAATAAAGGTAAAAGGTAAGGTTGTTGATAATGAATATTATAATGAGAGTTCAACTATTAGAGAAATAAATTCAGGATTAAGTGTGAAGGAAGGTGTCAACAAATTTCACTAATTTAGATTTTATAACACCTTATTGGAGTCCAAAAATTGAACCAGTTTTTGATGGCAGATCTTTTCCTTCTGTCATGTCAACTTGTCTTGGAATCCTTGAGTTTTGAGATTCTAGAAAACTTGATAATCGTCAGGGTTTGCCGAAAATCCAAGTGAATTGTAGAATAAAGAAACAGCTTTAGTTGATAATACATTCTGAATCGAATCGAGAAGTTGCTTGAACTTTGAAATTGCCTCCTTTTCCCTTCACAGCTCGTCCATTATCAGCAAATCCACACTACATTCATAGATGAAAATTCAATTAATAGATCTTTAAATTGGAAATAATTAGTCGCCACATTACTGCGTCAAGAATCCAATCCATCACATCTTGATTCATCGGAATTATTGAAAGTATTATAAGTATCGCATGGTAACTTTACACCAAGAGTTTCTCGAGTCCCATCCATCATCAGATTATCGGGATTACCAAAGATATAGCCAGAGACAGTTCAATAAATCCACATCAGTATGATCACAGTAAACATTATGAACTAAGAATTAATGATGAGTTATATGATCAATAATTATCTAAAAATGAAAATCGAAACATTATATAAAAAGTTGAAAATAAAATATTGAATAATTATTTTTAATAGTGAAACACATGTTTGTTTTGCTCGATAATTAGCAATTGAGTCCTCGTTGTGGTAAAAAAAGCTAATCTTTTTGCGTAACCCATTTTTGTCTTTAACTTGCTTAGTGTTTAGCTTTTAACTCAATCAGTGTTTAGTTTTAATTTAACTTCAATCAATTAATTAATAATTAATGTGTCTTTGCCACATTTACGTGATGACTTTATACACTTTTATTACAAAATAACGTTTTTTGGTCTATTCAACTTCCATTTATTTGGGTAAGTTTATCCACAGAAGTACTGGTCATTGAGTTTTCTTCTCTTTACTGTATTTCCCATCACTTCAAATCTTTTACTTTTGAATACTTACCAATTGATTTTCAACTCTTCCTGATCATCATAGCCACCATGATGATGATCATCAACATTAACCATCACAAGCTTCCTCCATTAACCTCTCCATTGTTGCAGTTTTAAGTAGACCATAAGGGAAAGAGAAAAGAAAAGGTAACCAATCAATTGATCTTCTTTGTTTGTCCCTGGAAAACGATTCAGAAGCCAGGATCGTTGGAAACTTTACTCCTGTTAAATCTAAAAAGAGACACCATGAAAGGGAAAAAAATCAATTCTATGGAACCATCTTAGGTTGTGAAGAGATAAGTATGATAAAGAGTTTGACATTACTATTAGACAAATGTAAGCCTTAAGATTGTTGTATCATCTTTTTCCTCCCTACCTTTGCATCTTCATCTACAAGTTCAGTCTTTTGCTAAAGTACATCTTCCTTCCTTTTCTTTTTTTGTTCAGCTTCTTGTCAGACTTGTTTCTCTTTCACCATCATCTTCTTCTTCTTTCCACTGATTTCGGTAAACCAATAAATTAACCCCTGAATAAGATTTTCTTTCACTTTCTTCTGCTCTCTCTAGCTTTTCCTCAGACCAATTCTCATTATTATTATCAACATCTTACTTGTTAGTCCAGCATTCTCTTTACTCTACCTGCTAATCTCATCCATTAATAACATTATCTTCCCTAGATAAAGGTTCATGTTCTTACTATTACTCTATGAAAAACTTTCGACATAACCTTTACCTTCTATATTTGCTACACTGACCTTGCTTTGTAATACATTTTGTGCAACCAATTTTATGCCCATCCTTGTTAGCTGCTTTATCATTATTATCATGATCGTCATTATCATCATTAACACGCAAAATACTAATACAATTTTATTTATCACCCTTTCATTTAGATCAAACCACTGTAAACACCTAGGAAACATATTTCATCCTGAAATACCAGAAAATGCATAATTTCAACTTGGCAATTCCAATCAACTTACTAATTAACGAATTTCATGGATGATAATTGAGATGGATGAATTCATTTTCCAGTTAATGGGTCATTGTGATGCTAGAGGATCAACCCTGAGAAAATGATTGAGTTGCTTCTTGAGTTACCTTTGAATCAAGTATTTTTCGTTTACTATTAACTATTCTGATAACACTTTGGTTTGCTGTTGAAACTTGTTCATATTCAAGTGATCTTGATGAGAATTAAATGAGAAAAAGGAAATTAACCAGAATGAAAATCACAAGTGGCCAGGAGTAAAATTTAATGATAAAGGTAAAAGACGAATGTTGACAAATTTTACCATGAAAATTATTAACATCACTTGATGAAGTACATTTATATGAATAACCCGAGGGTTACTATTCATACATGTTTAACTCAAATAACCTGAATACCGACTTATCCATAAAGAATGTTACAAAGAGAATACAGAATGAGAATGTTAAAGATGATAGAAAAAAAGTGAAACAAATTCAATTACAGTCTTTCATCCCAATTTATTTAGTATTTTTCAATCAAATCAATTTTCATTTATTTTCAAACCAACTGAATGTCAATGTCAGCTTCAACCATCTATGAGCATCACCGTCTTCATTATTATTCTGAGTCTTACCTTTAGCATTCATGAAGAATCTTTCCAACATAAAAATAGGTTGATATAATTTACAATTGCATTTGTGACTCCAATCAACAGTAGTTATCAAGGTTGATCAACCATTAAAAAGTCATTGACATGAAGACAATCAACTTTTGACTGATAGATGGCGTTCCTATTCAATTAGATTGTAATTAATTAACAATTTATTTTATCTTATCGAATAGTAATGAGAAAGTTATTTATGACTGTTTGAAGGTAACTAAATGAGTTTGCCTGTTAATTGTTACGCTGATAGAATCGTATAATTAAGATAAAGTGCATTAAAGATGAATATTTGATCAACAATTGATCGTTATTTTGCTCAATTTTGAATCTATTAGCAATTTATCTTTTCCAGTTTCAATATTTAATTGTACATCAAATCTGGTTACTAAATTGTTTCTTTTGCTTTCTCTTTTGGTCAATAGATTTCAATAATGGATTACCAGGAATTTCAATCTATTAATGGTTAATTGTTTACTAAATGGACGCTCTGCACTAATGGCTCTCGACTAATCCATGGACATTTGATCTGGCTCAAGAAATTATCTATTTTACACATTCTCTATTTATTAATTGACCAATTATAATTAGAGAGGATTTATGTCTCAATTAAGTTTAATTTGCTCTTTGGACAATCTCACATTGCCCAGAAAAGTAAATTAAATTAGCTGTTGAAAGTAATGTCATTTGATTCCAATGTGATATTTCATCTTACATTACAATCAATTTTGACCAATTTCATCTAAAATAGGATTAGATCATTCAATTTAGATCATCAAATATCAGAATGGAATAAGTTTTTAAAAAAAATGAATCTCATTGTTGCCAATGATTTTCTGATTTTCTGATTTTCAGGAGAAAATGTTAATCTAATTCGATTAACTGTTAAATATCAAAAGACAACAGTCTCTTTATTGATTGTTTCTTTTGGTAAGTAAATACGATTGATGATGTTGGAAAAGAGACAGAAGAATATAATGATTCTGGCGATTTTGATGGTAATAAGAGTCATGGTCATGATAATGGATAAGCCAAACAAAAGATTTTCAGTTTCAGTTAATAATAACGAAAAGATTTAAAGGAAATTATATTATCAGGTAAACTTCCGTTTATTTTTTGTTTCCTCAGAGACAAACAAATAATCAAAGATTAACTGTATAATCGGATGTAATCAGGACTAAATGAAGATCAACAATTTAATGTTGCCATTAAATTGGTGAAAAGTGAAAGTGAAAATACATTTAGTTTTGATTAGAAGCCGAAAAATAAATCAAACTCAAGTTTCTTCCGATTTTTTATTCGAAGAATCAAGATTTTGATCAAGAGTTATTTATTCAATTTGATCACAATTTATCTACAATCAAGAATTCATATCCGGACTAATGGTTATTTCATTGATTGTTTCAATGATTATTTTTGGTTATAAATCAATCCAAAAGATCATGATTGTGATACTTTCAGTTTCTATTGATGACAATCCCTAGCAATATTGTTTAATTAGTGCAAATTTAGACAAATTATTGTTAATTTTAAGATCTTAAGATCTATTAGTATTACAATCAAGTTAACCAAACCTTCACTTTCCAAGTAAATCCATGAATATGAATCAGTTTATTAATAAATAACAAATTGATCATTATTTACTTTTGAAGTTGTCAACATTTTGACCTAAATTATCATCTGTTCATCTGTGAATTGAAATTTAAATAACAATTAACATTAATCATCATTCAAAGTCGTTTATCGATCAATCAACCAGAAACAAAGTATTAATTGCGAGAGAAGCTGCAGTTTATTTCAATCAATTATCAAACAGAAGTGAAAGGAAAAACCGAGAAGTAAACTGATGTTTCTATTAATAAGCAGAGTAGAGCCAAAAAAAGTGTTCAAGTTAAAGTTTATGTTTAATTTTCACCCAAAAAATGGTGTTAATTGTTGAACGGTTATTGATTAATGGTTAATGTTGATTGTGGCCTTACTGACAATTAACCAGTAATGGCGATAACCCATTGTGACCCTAACCAAGGTCACTTTTTCGAGTGAAGGTTGAAAGAGCATGCGTAAAAACCTTCTGTTGTATGTTTTGTTTGACAATCAAATATTCAATTTCTCTTCATCTTGTTCTGCACCTTAATTCATCTTCTCTTATCATTTCTTCATCTCATCTTACTTCATCTTCATCTTCTTAGTGATAATCATTTTCCTTCATTTTACCTACATTATTCTGTGATTTGTTGAAATTCATATGTCTATTAGCAACTGTGATCTCTCCTGTTACCCAATTTATAACAACTGTACATCAAGCTCTATCATCAAGTTGCTCTTCAACTTTAAACCTGGCTCCTTAATTTCATCATAAATATTATATTTACTTTCAGTGTTTTGATTGTCATTTGTTTACCAATTGTTGTACCAATTAACAAGATTGATCAAAGTCAATTTAACCAATTAAAATTGATCTCAATCAAATTATTCTCATAGAAAAGGATTATCTATTTCAGAATAAGGTTAAGGTAAGATTGTTATTTTTTTGTCATATCTTTTTCATTTCAATTATCCTAATTGCCCTAATTGACAGTTAATTGATTCAGTACTACATCGAAGCTCAATCAACAAATCAACAATTTCGTGTGCTACTAATTGAAATGGTTCAATGTTTAAACTTTTTAGGTTCAAGATTCCCATCAAATTAGACAGTTTCTTTACCTCATCTTGTTATCAAACCATGTTTGCCTAACCGAGTTGTTGAATATCTTCTTCCACGATTAACTGTTCATTATTTATGTTCAACTGAGCGAGTGTATGTGACTATTTTACTCAAATTTGAAATCACATTGAACTTCTTTCGATTCTCTTGGTTTTAACGGTTTTTCCCTTCTTTATGTAATCTATTAAGGCCAAGTTAAGGTCACATTAAATAGTCTGAGACTTTTGTTCGAGGTTACTGAGATGACTCTTACCATTGCTCAGTTAGTGTATTTCAATCACCTTGTAACCAAGAAAAAAGAGTAAACCTAGTGACTTGAAAATAGAAAGGCCAAGAAGAAAGAGTCAGTGACTCTTTCATTTGTCTTCTTTTCCTTTTTCCTCTTTTTCCCTTTCGATTTCCTCTCCTTATCTCTTTCGTTTTTTTCCCTCTCTTCCTTTAAATTCAACTCTGAGACTGTCTCAATTGACTCACTCAACTTTCTATTTTTTACTTTTTCTTTCATAGATCAGAGAAGAGCGGGAGAGACAATAAAGCGTCTCACTATCTAACGATTTCAGATCAAAGTATATTTTGTCCTGAGCTATAAGAAGTAAAAGGAAAGCGAGATTGAGGGAGAGGATGAGAGAAGAAGAGAAAGGAAGAAAGAGAGTGAAAGAGCGAAGAATGATGAATTAAAATTGATATAAGGTAATCAAAGATTAAAGAAAGAGAGAGAGAGAGCCAGAAGACAAGTCATTTATCTTGAAATCATTTTTACCTGTTTGTTGCTGCTTCTCATCACCGTCATCTTAATCTTCACTCTGAACATCATTACTAATCAAGGCGCTACATCTTTGTCCATCATTAACACAAGAAGAAAACAAGTCTCAAAGTTTACAAGTTACTACTTCTCTCATTCCCAGTTGCTTCAGTTTTTTTCAAACATCAACTTGATCGTCATTTTCATCATTATTATTAAATGTGTTCACCTTTTCAATCAACCAGTTTTCCTGAGTTAAACATCACTAAACACAATCCTGTGATGAAACCTTGTGATCAACAAAAAATATGAGCGCCAACCTCAACATCAACGTTAACCTTAATCAAGTGAAAGGAACAAAGACAAGTACAAAGAAACCATCTTTAGTGAGAACCAGAAAGTGTTAAATTTAATTGTTTTCAATACAATTCCAAGTTGTTTCTCTTTTTTTTCTTCTAATTTCTAAATGTTGTTGTTAACAGCTAATTGATGAAGGAAAACATCTTCCTTAAGAAGTGAGGGTGAATCTAATTGTAAAGAAACCATTTTTGGTTCACAACAAAACAAAATTGGTTTACAACCAACAAAAACAACAATCACAATTACCAGTCAAATATTTTCTACATAACAGTTCAATTTCAAGGTTTCTACCAGATCTTTGTATCGATCCGTTGCTTTTTTCTTATTGGTTAATCAACTTTATGGTATTTGGTGATGATACAATTTTTCAACCCAATGTGTCATGTTGTCTTAAATCTTGTCAAATTCACCAATTTTCATCAACGCCATCTTGACTATCACTGTCAACCTTTTATACACAGTTAACATTGTGAACTCTGTTTCTGTTGTTCTAATCATCGTCTGTGTGTCTCCATTTTTATTGAATCTCTCTCACTGCCTAAAAAATTGTATTCTTTTTGCTCCATTCAACATCATTAATAACCTTTTTTGGTGGATTTTGTCTTCTCTTTCCTGGTCAACTAGTGAACCTTATTACTAACCAATCAATCATTTGGTTATTGTGTATCTGTGGATTTATCAAGGTAACAACTACAAAGGGAAAACAGCAATCATCATGTCCATTTCCAAGGATGATGAAATAGGTGTAAACTCTAGGATAGTTAAAAAAGGTATTTTGTGGCAGCAAAATGGTACCAAAAAAGGATTAAAAAACATCTTTAAAAACAAATGGAAACAACGTTATTTCATTTTAACAAATAGTTATTTTGCCTGTTTTAAGAAGGAAAAAAGCAAAATCTGTGAAATGGGACTCTTTTTATTTAAATTGTCGTTAACCGATATTAAAACGGTTACAATGGTCAATGATACACTCAATATTAACAATGATTTCATCATTCTCTGGGATGGTAATAATTCACTTATTACCGAATGGTTTAACTGTATTAATGATGCTAAAAACAGTTGCCTCAAACGTACCTCATCAAACAGTTCATTGATTAACAGTAAATCAACTCCTGTTCTTGATACTAAACGTCTTAACCGAATTTCAGGTAAACCATTCATCCTTATTTAAATATCCAACTATTTATTCAATTGAACAATTAATAGTCATATTCAGAAAGTACATTTATATCATTAGGAAAATGTTTATTTTTGGTTACAATTAAAGATGAGACAAGTCAGTTGCACCGTTAGAAACTGATATACTTGAGATGCTTTTCAATTTACCTTGAATGTAACATTTAATGGTTCCTTAGATTTTTTTCAAATGAAGTTTATTTTTGTTCACAAGTTCAACAAAAGCAAACGATCCATACACAAATTGATGAACTCAGAGATAAATGATGAAGCATGTTACACCATTTATAACATTATGATATTGTTCAGACATAAGCTGTTACCTTCTAATCATCAAAGTCAATATAATGATTGCTAAAAGTAAAACAATTACATTGTAGCATCTCAGGATATATCGGAAGCAATTGCTATTTAATCCTTCTCTTTACATGATCCTTATTATGTCAATCAAATTTTTTCCTCTAAATTTATCCCTAGAATGCTTCTTCCAGCCTCATTCATTTTCAATTTTCTGATTACTCATTTCATTTTCAGTTTCTTGTCCACACATTTTTTTATTTTCATTTTATCATGTTTTTTTCATTACCTTTACCATTTCCATTCTCTGCATGAAATCATTACTGATGACGATGATAGTGATGACTGTTAAATAAACTTGTGTAGGCTTTAGAATGGTTTACTTTCAACAGTTTTTTTGCAAGTCTGTTAAAGTCTTTGATTGTCATTATTGTTCATAAACTTTGCTCTTTCTAATCATCTTAAAAAAATATTATTCTAACTTTTTTTACATTTTTTTCCTTACAGTTCTGTCTTCCTATGAACGTCGTCTGTCATCTATATCATCCTCCTCCTCATCATCTCATCTGATTCCCGATCCACCAACTTTTCCTCGTCTGGCACCTCAGTGTAAAGGAGTCATTTCCAGTACTTCATCCCATTTCAACACAACTGGTCCACCAGCTTACCATCTAAAGCCATGTCCATTTACCTTATCAATATCGCCATCACTTACACAGCGATCTTTGTACGCCCAGAAAATACTTTCATCTTCTTCTTCACCCAGCCCGACACCAACTCATTCAAGGTTTTTTCGTCCCTTTAAATCATCTTTAACTTCAACAACTTCATCATCATTCCTGCATTATGCCACCCAGCCAAGATTGCAATCATCTTCCAATCTAAAATCGGCAGCATCTGAATTTTCCTTCATCTCACTCAGTTCATCTGGAGCATCTTCTCAAGCATCAGCAGCAGCTAAAGCTCAACAACAACAACAGCAACAACAAAAACAGCTGCAACAGCAGTCAACTCCTCAGAGACACTTGAACCAAAACTCTCACTCAACACTACACCAAACTTTACTCCACCAAACCCTTTCTCGTCACACACCTTCATTGCCATCTTTCTCTGGTGGACCACCGTCAACCTGTCCCTCGGACTCACCTAGATTCCTATCTTCCTCTCAAAGTCCTTCTCATGGATCATTCGATTCAGACTCGCCTCCTCCACCACCAGTTCCGCCTCCACGAATTGGTACAGCTGATCGAAGGATAAGACCTTGTTCATATTATGTTGAGCCTGCCAATAGCTCATCAAGTTATTCATCAAGCTCCTCCAACTCGGCAACAACAACTTCCATGACATTGCCATCCCATAATAGGAAAACATCCCCACTGGCAGATAATATAAAGAATAGTAATAATAACACTTTAAATAGCCACAATCACCATCACCTTAATAATATTATCAACAACAACAACAATCACATGAACACGATGAAATCAGGGACAACCAAGAAAAAATCTCGAATGTATCGGATAATTGAAAATTCAAGTCGACATTTTCGTTGAACCAGATAAAATGAAATTTCCTTGAACACTATTAGTATTATGGCAGGTGAAAATAATTCCATACTTGGTCTGGTTACCTTGGCAAAACATAGCGAAGTCAATAGAACCAAATAAGTGTTCTCTGCGATATTATCACCCGTGCCAAGATTTAATGTCCAATCTTCACTGACCCTTTCCATGGAGGAACAAACAAAGTCAGCTGAACCTTTGGAAAGGGTAAACAGGGAAAAGAAGAATCAACTTCTCAATTTCTTCTACAATGCCAATGATTTTGATCTCTCAAATTTTGAAACTCTTTACAATTTTACAACTTTTAGTGTATCTAACACTCAACATTACCAATGTCTTTTGCAATCCTTTTTTGTGTGCTTTTGCACCTTTATTTATTGATACTCAGAATGAACAAGTCAGAAAAAAAGGAGAAAAGATGAACAAAAAGATAAAAGGAAAAAGACTATTTCAATGGATCCTGTAACTTAAAAAAATTAACAGTAAACAAAACTGTTTCAAGCTCGTAACTGGAATAATGCTCGGATTTTGTTTCCTCTTTTTTGTTCAATTTTCTTTATCCTCTATTATCTTCTTTCTCACCCTGATCTGAGATTTTTTCATGATCTTTCCATTTTTTGCCATGAAAACATCCTACCTTGTTATTTCCTCGTCACTTTTGATTACCAAATTTTTTCTTTTCCCAATGAGATTGAGCCCATTTGTTATCCCCAGCTTGATGATTTCTAGTTTCTCGTCAAATTGAAATTATCCTCATCAATGTTTTTGTATAAAAAAGTAACCCTTTGAGGCAAAACCAAATTCATTTTTCTTCATATTTCATCCTTGTTAACTTTCTCACCAAGTTTAATCTCCATTGTTTACCAGCATCCTCAAACAAAGCAAACAAAGCCAACCAGAAACTCTGTCAATTTGTGAAAGCAACATCAAAAAATCAGCAAGCCAGCAAAAAAAAAGAAACACCAACAACAGAAAAGCCTGTGCAACAGTGAACCTTCCTCATCTGTATCATCACTTAGATGAAAATTGATTTAATTTTCTTCTCCCTGCTTCCCATCTTCATCTTGAAACATAATGGTTCTTTAATGAAAATCCAGAAAACAAAACCTGAAAATCAATGTCAACCTTTTAATAGCGTCCTTATTAAACCTTGCACATCCATTTTCCGATTCACTCTCGTTGATCCAAAAAGATACTTACCTTTCCCAAACCCTTTTATTTCATCTTATTAACCTTCTCATTTGCAAATTGTTGTGAAAAGAAAAAAAAACTGTAAATGAAAGGTTAATGAGAAACTTATAAATATATATCTCACTCTTTTGTATCATGAAGATTGTATAAAAAAAGCTAATACTGAATACAAAACAAAATACTGAATGAAGTAAAATGATAATTGAAAATGATTTTCGTTTCCATTCATTTACCATTCCAGTCAAAGTACACTTTCAATTACAGTTTTACTCACATTTCAGCCCAATAAGGATTTGATTAACTTTCAGTTAATAGAGATTAACCTTTATTTAGCAAATTGGTTTCAATACGAAAGCAAAAAAAAGGTTGCCTTTTACCAGTTTAAAGCCTTAATCTGGTTCATCTGGTTCAAGATGATTAAAAGTATGAAAAAAAGATGATGAATGAGATGCAAAAATATTGCTCTATGAGTTTAATGTAAGCCTTTTTCGGCTGGAGTTTTGTTTCATTTGAAATGTATTTTGATTAACCATTTTTCATTTCAAATGATTTACAATTCAATTTATTTACATTTTTCGTTTAAACAAAATGTCATATAAATCATGTTTCACCAGTTTAATGTTTGAAAAAAAGGGAAACACATAAAAATGATCAACAAGCTAAACCCAATCCAAAAATAGTTAAAACCTGCTATTGATTGACTTTAATTGAAACCAAGAATCAGACAAGAATCAAGAAGACGAGGGACAAATAAAGAGTCAAAATAAAGACCCAAACAGACTCTTGGACAGTTTGACAAAAATAAGGTGACTTTAAGGCAACAATCAACCCGGAATACATTTTGCCTGAATCAAGCGAATGGTTAACAATAACTTATCAAACGATCAAAAGAGTTTAAATAGAAGAAGAAGAAACTAATCTTTACCCGAATCATCATCAATAACCATCACTGACTGAAATGGAGAAAAATATTATCCTGCAAAATTCACCGATTTTCCCATCAAATCTTTCTATTAATAAATTTTCGATATTTTTCTCCTTCAAAGTAAATCCATTTACCATTTCACATGACAACTCAAACTCATCAGCTTTCACTCTTGAACCATTCTCATCATCTTCAGGCTTCATCTTGATCTGCCTGAACCACCTTAATTCATGTTAGAGGTTAAATGATGTGCAATTTGCATTTTATGCCCATTTATTTACTTCTTTAACTGGTTAACTTATTCAATGTTTACCGTGTTAAATTGAATTGAATTAATTGTTATTGAATTTAATCAAATCGCATTTATTGTCAATTTGAGTAGCAAATTTAAATTTTCATTTTCTTCTTCCTGGAGATTCCTTGAAAGGATTGTTTGTTCGGTAACCATGGAACTTGTATAAATGTTGATTGAAAACATTGAAATAATTAAACTTTTTACCACACGTCGGACAGGTGAAGTTTTGATAAAAATGCTGAGCCATCAGGTGGTTTGCCCAAACAGCTGAATTGCACAGGGATTTGAAACAGATAAAGCATTCAAAGCTTTCTGGTGAGGTTTGGAAAGTGGATGCTCGGGGCAGAATTTTACGAATATAACGAGTAATACGGATGATGTCTTTGGTATCTTGGCACATTCCTTTGGTTTCTTCGTTATCCACGCCATTATCATCCTCGTCCTCCTCATTATCCACATCTTCGTTTTCCTCCTCGTTTTCATCAATATTATCATCAATATTCTCATCAATATTCTCATCGATATTCTCATCAATATTATCGTCTGTATTATCATCAACGTTATCATCCATGCTATGTTCAGCATTATCATCGTTGATATCATTATTATCGTCAACACTATTATCGACGATATCATCAATAATATCGTTATCATTTTCATCTGCATTTTCCCGAGTGATAATTTCAACTTTTAACAATTTTAACTGGGCAAAAACGGTTTTCAATTCAGCTTTGGGAATAATACAACGGCCAGTATATACCAGATCATATAAAGCTTTAAGTCCATTTGAATATATAACAGGCAACAAGATACCAGACGATCCTCCACAATCATGTGAACCAAGCATTTTAAGGAGTGCTGGTGAAACGGCAGTTAATAAATTTTTGTGAAAACATCGGCTGGCTCCATCGGATGAATATAAACGACAATCTTCTGGAGACCTGGGTATGGATTTCAAGCAATGAGAGGGAATTTCCAGCCTTGTATACATAGCAGTATCCCAAGAATTTAATAGTTGAAGAACAGGTTGATATATATTTGGTTGAATATAAATGTATATATAAATATAAATATAGTCAAATATAATATAAAATATAAATACTTATTTTTAACAAATAAATGATATTAGCGAAAGGGAAAACATTCAAGTTGGACGAAGGTTAATAATAAAATAAGAAATACGAATCAAAAGATACTGAAAAAAAAGATGAATAGCATAAACAAATAGGAAAAAGCCTGGGTGGGAACTCAGGTTCAGTAGAAGAGAAGCGCTACATTCAAAAGAATAATATAACTCAATAATATCCTTGATAAAACCAATTAACAGCTTAACACTTATAATTCAACAGTAATAATTGTCTCTAAACAATAACTATAAGGAGTGAATTATATCACTATTTCCTATCCATACCATTTGGATTAATTAGACGCAATTACAAATTTAAGTTAACCCAAACCAGCTTAACCAATAAACTAAAATTAACATAATTTGTGTGAAATTGCGTATTTAACAATTGCACAAGTCAACCAAAGCAACTGTACATCAATCTAAATTGTTGAAACATTGTTGGCAGGAATTAAAACTCTTGTTTAAACATTAAATCTTGCTTTGAATTACAATTAATCCAATCGTATGATTATAATAAATGGTTGGTTTTTCCGTTTAAAGATGGAGCCATCTTCGATAAAAATGCAAATTTCATCTCAAACGGTTAATAGTTTGCAACGTCAATAGATGGCAATCTTGAATCAGTAATCGAATTGAAAATTGCTAATCTTTGGTAGTTTTCAGACAACTGCGCTTTACAATTACGTTTTACTTACAAAACTCAGCATCTTGTCTCAGTTTATATTTAAAAGTTAATTGACACAGTTAGGTCTAAGAACTAAGCTTTACCGGAATGACTGAAATAAAGTAATTATTTGTTTCTATTGATAGTGTCTTCTTTTTGTTTAACTGTAAAAATATTCACCAAATGCCTCTTGTTTGAGTTGGAGGAAAAATTGCAGAAAGTAAAAGTTGTGTGTTTCAATACTTTTACTTTGATCTCAACTTGTTTTACAACAACAGCCAACAACTTTAACAACAACATTATTCAACGTTACAACAAAGTGTATAAAGACTGGAATAATTATGATGTTTAAGTGAACCTTAAGAGTAAAAGAAAAGACAAAAAATTATATTTCAACAAATTTTTCTTACCTTCATATTTGTTTGTTTTTTTTCCATGAAAATTAGTTTCTACAACCTGATGTGATAACAATGCGTTATACTTCGGGATTATTTGTGACATTATTTGTTTACCTTTTAACCACACAATCAAGTGTAAATGGTTACCCAAATAAAAAAACCTCTTTACCTGAAACTGATACATTATCTGATGGCAGTCAAAGAGAAGAGCTTGCCAAAAATCTTCCGAAGATGAAAAGTACCCCTTCCACTAAAGCTGCGAATGAAGGTGATACTGTAACATTCCCATGTGAAGTTGAAGATCTGGGTAGTTTAAGTGTGGCCTGGAATAAGAGAAAGGCTTCAAAGTCGGCTTCAATTTTCTTAGGAGCTTTTCGTTTATTAAATGACGACAGGATTTACCTTGAGAAAAACAATTTAGTGATCAAAAATGTTAACGAAAGCGATTCAGGAACTTACACCTGTAAAGTATCTACCGATAAAGATATTTCAGTGGAACACATTCTCTTAGTCCATAGTGTACCCACCATTAAAGTTGAACCTGCCGATAAAGTGGTCGTTCTTACCAAAGGACAAACCTTACGATTAAAATGCAAATCTAGTGCCGAGCAAAAGCCAGATATTAAATGGGAAAAGGATAACAATAAGTTAACAACCGCCTCTAACAATCAAGATACATTGGAAATACCAAATGTATCTCGTGGTGATGCCGGTAAATACAAGTGTGTAGCCTACTCCTTTTATGGAAGTGTTAGCCAAGCAGAATTTGATGTTGCAGTTGAAGGTAAGATATGTTTTCATGAGAAAAAGTGAATTAAGAAAATAATGATCAGAGAATGGTGAAAATGGCCAACAACAACAAAACGTTTATCATTGAAACAGTAGTAGCAATCAAAAAAGGCTATCCAATTACCTTGCAACTCGCCAACTTTGATACCATGATTACCTTCATCATTGTTATCATTAGCAAGATGGTTTGATTAGACTGTTACTTACATTTTTTTACCCTCCAACTATTTTAGCCACCCTAATCGATTTAATTAAACTTATATCTCACCCTCTATCTCATGGTACATCTTGAACAGGCTTAGTCCGTCCCGTTCAATTATCATCACCATCAACATTAACATTATTACAACCTCTCTAATTTTTATGTGTTTTTTTGTTATCTACAAAAAAGTGCCTGTTCCTTGTCTTGGTTGCCTCAACCGTATTCAACTCACGACACCTTGAAATATATACATTTTTAGTGTAGTCTCTTTTTTTTCTGGTAAAATGGCCTAAACCAATTACCATTGAACTTTTTGTTTCCCTCTTTTTACCTACAGTTAACCGTTAGGGTCATTTAGCTTGGGTCAAAGGTGCAGTTGGGTAAAATTTTCACAGTATTGAATTATTTATTAGGCTTTACTTGAAAAGTGTTAAACTAAACAGAAACATAAAACTGAGTAACATTTTTATATTTCAAACAAAAACATAAATTAAACATATATAATATATATATACACGTTTATGTTTACAATTGTGCTCGATGATACTCCGATTTACTTGTAATTATTATGATTAATTGTTGTTACTGCCGTTATTATATTAAACCTCTGTTCATTATTACATTTCACGCAAAAAAGGCTGCAACTACCAGCCAAAGCCAATTGGTTTACTTGAATAGATTTCATGCCTGTTAAAACTAATTATATATACGTTTGTTTTTTTCTTCCATTTTTCATGTTTTCCATCTCATATTACTCCATTAATCAACAGAGGGCCCGGAAATTGAATTACCTGAACCAAATGTGTATACCGGTATTGGACAACAAGTAAAGCTTCGATGTAAAGTCCATGGAACACCAAAGCCAAGCGTTACTTGGGAAAACTCTAAAAATGGCCGATTACCGGGTGAATTTGATACACAAGAATATTTTGCTCTCGTAAATATACGAGAAGAATCTGATTTTGGTAAATACCGGTGTTCAGCTTCCAATCGATTTGACAAGGCAGTCGGTGAAATTGAAGTCTCTGGTCGTCCCTCCAAACCAATAATCTTGAACTCGGATGATGATTTTCCATCTTCAGGAGAGGAATTTGAATTGAAATATCAAGTTACATCCTATTCGCCAATAACTAAAATTATAGTCAGTTATCGTTATTCAAAGGTAAATGTCTTTCCAAGAGTGCTTGTCTCTCTCTGCTCATGTTTCACTGTAAATCAAACACGTCTTCTGTGTATATCCATGAAAACCCCTGAAAATAGCAAAACTTGCACAATGAGTAAATTAGGGCGTGGTCATCAACACAGCATGACATTGTTATCATGCTGACTTTAAGCTTTTGTACGCTATTTGTGTAAAAAAGCCTTTGTTTGCTCTTACTTTTTGTTTCTTTCCCTTTACAAACATCTTTACTCACTTTCTTCTCTTCTTTTTTTTCTCTACCTTTTTCTCTTTACCTTTCCTTCCATCATCATCATCATGGATCATCTGTCTTGCCATCATGACTTTTTCTTCTTCTCACCTTGATATTGTGTTTACACCATTTGGCTAAACAATTGGAAACTTGATTGAAAATTGGAAAACTGGAAAAAACAGAACTTGGACAAATTTTCCGACTGGAATACAACAGAGGTTAATGCCGGCGACTCTATTGGTCCAACTTATAATTTAAAGCATGTACTGTCAAATATGGAGCGAAATACCTATGAAGTTAAGGTTTATGCTGAAAACAAATATGGTCGTAGTGAAGGTAGCGATATACATTCAATTACAACGGATGGTGAAAAAGAACGTAAGTTTTTCTCTTTTTCAATTTCAGTCAAAATAAACCCAAAAGACAAACAAACAAACAAAATATTTTGCCATCTTTTTTTGTTACTTTTTTGGAGTCAAAACAACAAAAGTGTCTCTTGATGCAAACAAAAATTTAATTCATTTTTTTCAATTCGTTGAAGCAACACTGGGATAGGCTGAAAATGAAAGGCAGAAAAGGCCAGACAAATTATTGATTAGATTGTCCTTTTTTTGACACAACACTCTAAACAGTCCTTTGAGACTGTCCATTTAGCATTTACACATTTCCACTATTCCCTCCTCTTCCTCCTCCTTCACCATCGCCTAACCCAAGACATAACTCTCAATATCCTTTGGTTGTTCACTTGGAACTAGGGCGATCAACTGATTGCTGGTTGAAGGTGACACCAGGAGGTAAAACCTAACAGGGGAAAGAAACCTGAGTCAGACACAATACAAAACATTGAAGATGACGAACAGAGTAAAAGGTAAGATTGATGAAAAAGCAAGAGTAAAACTCGAACAGGTTGTTACTTGGTTTCGATAGTGTTAAGGGCTGGGTTGAATGTTAAATATTGGGTTGGGCATAACCATTACTCTCTCTTTCCCCTCTGTCTATCTTTGGTTATTTATTTAATTAGATTGTACAAGTTAATTGTTAAATGGTTTCAAATGGGATTTGCCCTTTGGAGGCGATTTTTTCTTCTCTTCATTTATCTCTCGGTCTCTTTTTTTGCCTTCCTCGTCTATGATCACTGTTTTTTAGCAGTCTGTATGTGTGGTGAGGCCCGTTGATAGTGGGTTGTTGAAGGAAAGGCAAAATGGACGCGGTGGGTGGTTTTATCTTCACTCTCTTTTCTTTCTTCCATAATAATGGTTATCATGTTAATGATATTGTCCTTTCAACTATCATTGAATCCCATTGCCTAGTGGCTATAGCATTTACCAGTTATTCATTTACAATTGTTATTCTTACAAAATACTCTTGAATCATTACGATTCTCATCATTAACATGTTTTGTTATGATTTGTTTCATTTTTTTGCTGCTCATCGATCCTCCATTTTTCAATGTAAACCCAAAATTGTTTCGTCTTTTACATCGATTTATAGCCTTTACCTTTTCTGGTTCACTCTTTTAATGACATCAATAAATTCAGTGTTTGCAGTCTATCATTATCATTACCAAGATTATCATTATGAAAATTATCATTTTTACCTTTTTTAAATGTTATTGAATGGGCGCGGAAATTATGTTGAGAATAACCTTTCAACATGATTTTTCACGATTTAACTCATTTTATGATATCTTGATTTTCTTGACTTGTTTACCTTTACTTTTTATCATGAAATGTTATTGCAGCAAGAAAAACAAAACAATAATCTTAATGAATGATTCAATATTTATCTCAATTGAAGATTAGTTTTGCCTTTTTCATTTCCTTATATATTAAGATGAATAATGAGATAAACTACTTCATTTTTTTCATCAAACAATATAACTGATTAAGAAGCATTTTTAGGCCAAACTATCCTTGATTCAATTTTACACATTTTACCATTTTCTGCATGTAATTTCATCGTTCATTTGATCGACAGAATCTGACTCACTCTTCCTTATTATAACAATGAACTTTAATAGTCTTGCAGTTGATTCAAACACTTTATCTTGATCATCTTTACTGTTTTTGTAGCTACTTTTCAATCTAATGGTTTTCATTTATCAAGATGGACATTGCGTGCTTACCATACACAGGAAATGATGTTACTCTATTGATCTAAATGTAGAGACAAGGGGAAAAAAAGACTGAATATGATGATGAAGATGAAAAGTTACATTTAAAACAGTAAAGAGAGAGAGAGAGGAAAGTGAGTTACATATCTATTTATGGAATCCATTGCGAGTTATCTCAAGATAAATGCATTAAGAGTTAACATTTTGTCTAGAAATGCCTCAAAATTTATGGATATATTTTTATGTCAATGAGTTGTGTCTGTAATTTTTATGGAAAGCAGGAAAATTGATGACTGTTGGTTGATATAAAATTGACTCGACAATGAATTAGATGAACTTCAATCAAGATTGAAAAGTCAATGTCCTTAATCTTCTGTCTTTTTCATCCCTTTTCCCTCTCCTTCCACGCCCTGCTGTAAACACTGATACCTATCCATCTTTGTCTAACTCAGTCTTGTCCTCCTCCTCTTCTCATCTCATTCCCTAATCATCCTCATCATCGTCATCACCCTTCTTTAATCCTTTCCTATTTCCCATCCATTCCCTCTCTCTCTCTCTCTTGCGTGCAATATCATCCCAAAACAATGTATTAGACTAACCAGAAAATTTGAATTGAATCTAATTTTACAATCAACCCAATAAAGCCAACAATAAAATGGCCCAAACCACAAGCTTACAATGAACCAGAAAATGATGAGATATTTATACCTACTCTTTAAATAAAACCATATGTCTTTTCAAGGCATCAATCTTGTTATAACATCCATAATATCATCATTACAATCACTATTATAATATCACTATTATATTACTTACCTTTTATTAGTTATAAAAAGCAACATAATGTGCTCACCTAATTTGAGTAAAACCTAAATCGAATGTTTATCAACTCCTTAAAAGTGTTTCCCTAACATTGAATATAATTTTGGCGTATCATTTAAAACGTGAGTAAACATGGGCTCAATCCCACTTTATTATGAACCAGAGAGAAGCGAAGTGCAAAAAAGTGCGAAATAAGATTGATTATGAGAAATTTGCTTTCTTTTTTTTGCTTCATGAAATGGTTATTAGTGGATTGGGTTTAAAATCAGGAGTCTCTCTGATTGAGTAAGAAAAAATTGTTAAAAAACTAGCCAGGTCACAGTGGGGATTGAAATGAGGCTCCGCCCGAGAAATGGACGATTTTGTTGAGTTCAATGTCAGAAGTTTACAATTTTTGCCTGAGAAAATGCTGTGTAATCCCATTTAGAGTGACATCCTCTTGCTTTACTCTATCAGTCTCTCCCTCTTCATCTTCACCTTTCCTTTTCTTCCCATTGCATGACTTGTCACAGAATCTCGTACTTGCTTGTCATTCCATCACCTCCTCCTCCTCTCTCCCTTTTTCAAGACCTCTCATCCACATTACTGACTCATTCATTGAAAATTGAGAGGAAAAAGTGATCAACATGCTCTTCAAAATCTCTTTTTTTCTCTTCTTCTTCTTCTTTGCTTTCTTACCTTTTCTTTAAAATCTCAAGCTTCTTTTTTTACCTTTTGTTATAAGAATAACCTGTTTAACTTGTGCTTTAAGATGAGGACGAAAGATGAAGATAAGATTGAAGTGTTTTTGGTCATCGATGAAAATCAATTGAAAATGTTATTTTTCTTCTTTTCGCATTTTTAACCAACAAATTGTACTTTGACGATTTGTATTACAAGATTTTGATAAATCTTGACAATTTTGCTTTTTTGCTGTCCAATCGCCTTTTCCAGCCAGTTGTTGCACATTACATTGAAAGATGCAAAAGTAAATGTGAATTTACTTTATAACGTTAATTTCCCATTGAAATACTTCTAGCAAATAAAAGTGAATTGATTGAGGCCAACCACTTAGACATTATTTAACTAATTGACTATTCAGTTTGTTTGTTTTCATTGGGAAAAGTATAAGATCGAGTTTGTTTGCTCCAACCAGACAATCTATCGTTCACATCGTGATGATGATTTATTAATTGTTTTCATTTTTCTTTCTTCCAGATTGGAAAGCTGCAGGATCAAATTCCTATGGAACAAAATCAAGTATTTCCTTGATAACTTGTATGGTGATATTAATCACATTCTGCCTTTCAAGTTAATGTTTTTTTTTCATTCATTAAAATTATCATCACTTATAAAATTCACTCGTTATCGCTTATTCCATTATCGGACCTTCTATCCTAATTTCATTTCTCAAGAGCAAACCCAACTCAAAAGACAATTTAATAATATTCATATGATTCAATTTCAATCATCGCGTAAGAACATGAAAAATCGTAAAATCAAAGTCATGACATGAAAGGTTCATCAAATAATTTTAAATCGTTTGGAAGGAAAAGTTGAACAATTTATAAAAAAAGATACATTTCGTTACATATTTTTGTCTATGGGTTAAGTATATTGTCAGGATATTTCATTATCTTACAGGCACATCTTGAGTAAATGATATTAAATATTTAATATAAATTGAAATTTACAATTTAATTGGACGGAGTATTATTTCTTTGGCTGTTGTAACCAATTGTCCTCGATAGTACTCGAGTTCATCCTGGTAAAGACAAAAATCAAAAAACAAAAAGTTAGAAGCAGAAATTAAAATGTAAATTGAAGGAGAGACTTGAATAATTGATTAAATTGCAATTGATAGTCATTGGATTAAATTGTGAAGCCGACTGAAGCAACGGAAACCTTCTAATAGGATTAAATGTAATTGAGCTGATTAAAAAAACTGAGCATTTCTTAATTAAATTAATCATGTGCAATTGACTAACATTTTTAATGTGAAAAACAACATTGAGATGCCCAGATTCAATGGAAAGAGTGAAATTTGAGGAATCAGGATAAATGATAACTGTGAGATTCCCAACGATTCTGTGTGTTTCATGCTATTAAGTTACTTTTCCCTAATCAAATCTGCAATCTATTGTAAACATAATCAAGTTGTAAGTGTAAATTACCTTTGCTTGGTCACTTGGAACGAATCTAAAGTTTCGGAAAATTTTGACCAAACATATTTTTATCTCCATGAAGGCAAACCTTGTCCCAATGCAGCTTCTTGGTCCATAAGCAAAAGGCAGGTAAGCAGTCAAGTTGTTTTCATCTTTAGATTCAGGCAAGAAACGTTCAGGTTTAAACTTTTCTGGTTCGGGAAAGTATTCAGGATCATGGTGCATTGCATGAACTGGAATAGTAATCAATTGTCCCGCTTTCAATTGGATACCACCGAGTTGACAGGGCTCTGCAGTGCGCCTTTCAACTCGAGGAACTGGCGGGCAGAATCTCAAGATTTCCGAAACAACCGCATCAAGGTAGGGTAAACTTTTTATCTTATCCCAGTCTGAGCATTCTTCATCAGTCAGGGTTGACAATTCATCAATCAATTTCTCTTGAACCTCTTGATGCCGAGTAAGAGTATAAAGCAACATTGACAACGTGGTAGCCGTGGTATCATGGCCAGCAATCAGGAAAATCAATGCTTGATCAACAATCTCATCCAAAGTCAATTCTGTTGGATGAATGACAGAAAATTACAAGAAAATGATTAAAATCTTTTTTTTGCAAAAAAAACAACTTCGACTGTGTTTTCAGTTTCAAGTTTAAAACCTCATTGATATCATATCTATTTTAGATATTTATTATATAATAACTCTTTGAAACCTGAATAGGAAACGGTTATTGAGGAAACTGTTAACACGCGTCGATCATGAGTATTTATCATTTTCAAGTTCCTGGTAATGTTTGGTTTTCGTAAAAAAATGTTCGAACTCACTTCTTTTTGCTAAATGTTCAGCTGCATCTGAATCAATTATTTCCGCATCTTGAAGTAACTTCACAAAGTCGACTCGATCTACCTGCAATTCGTGTCTCTTTGAGATTAGGTTGAGTATCAATTGACCGAAGTAGTTTAATGCCGAAGAGTCGAAAATGCTGAGATTAAAAAGAGATCCGATTGGAGCCATGGATGGACATTGAAAGGCTATCAATGATAACCAGTTAATGTTGGTGTTGAACAGTTTTTTTGAGTTGGCGACCAGAGGGTTGTAAGGGTCACGTAAAGAGTCAACTTTGACACCGAAAGCACATGAGGAAAAGGTGTCAAGAGTAAATGAGAGTAGAAATGTTTTTACATCAATTGATTGGTTTTTAAGGGCAGCTTCACCAATGTTGTCAACCAAGGTGTTGACAGCTTCACTGATTTGACTTTGCATTCCTTTCAGTTTGGATGCGGTAAAGGTTGGACTGACTATGGACCGAACTCGCTTCCATTGTTCCAGTTTAAGTACAAATATACTTTTACCTCCAATTTGATTGATGCCACCATAAAACTGCACATTAAGATAATTACGATAGAAACAGATAAGCAAAGTTTCCATTTAATTTCATGAAACACACAATCATTCAATTATTTCAATCATCGGAAAAAAAACATGGAAAAAAGCTTTTCATGAGAAGTCTCATCCCTTCAACAAGCTCTCCTGATCAAGGCTCATCGCACTGTGTTAAGGGTACACGCACCGACATTATGATTCACTAGTTCCTGGTACTTACTCTATGGTTTGGAAAAAGGTTGAATCTTTTAACCAGAATCTCTTTAACCAACTCGGCATCGCCACACATGAGGACAGGTTGAAGAAACTCATACATTCTGATAAAGGAAAGTTAAAGGTTTGTCATGACATTTTTGCTTTACAATTGAATTGATTTGTATTTACCCAACAACTCGTCCATATTTCTCGTAAGCCTGAGTATCGGATTCGTGGAAAGGTTTAGTCCAACGGTTCCATAAAGAGGCAACATCATTGGGTATTCCTTGACGCTGCCAGTGAGTAAGCTTATAAATGAGCCAAGAAATGGCGGTTATAGCTATAAATAGCCAAAAGTTGACATCGTTTGATGCAAACGGTGAAGTTAACGAGGTTAAAAGAGTCATTTTGATGATTTTAAATTGACTCTGGTGGGCACAATTAGGCAAACAATTAATTTTATTAGAAAACAAAAGAAAAATTTGATTCCAATTTGGTTAAACCAGTAAAAAAAAGAAACTAAAAGAAACCAGAAAATGTGTTGTTTTGGTTAAAGTAGTTGGGTTACAGTAAAAACATATTGAAAATAGTCGAGTCTGGTTAATCCTTAGTTTGTCAACAGCGCAAGTGAAATTGATCAACACAATTAATGAGCTTGAATCAATTGACTTACAGATTATTAATAAACTCAATGATATAATTGACAATCATGATAATGATAATTACAGAGTGAAAATGAAAAAGAAGATGAATTTCATTGTATAAAGTCTAATCAGTTGATCAACATTTGCCTTCCCTTTTTGTTTCAATTGTTGATTGTAAAACAGATTCAGTTTAATAAGAACCATGAGAATCTTCTCAATGTTTTGCTAATGGCAATCATGTTTCGTCTTTAAGATTCTTTTCGTCTTCATGATTTAAGTTGTAATTTGATATCAAAATATGAATTTCAATTTCAATTGTTTATCATTTTTACTGACCGACATTTTATTTAATAACGATTGGCAATGAAACCATTTTTTGATCAATTTTAACCTAAAAGTCAATCTTCATTTTGGGTTTTGTTTGGTAACCTTTTCAAGTGGATCCACTTGTTCAACTCAAATACTGATTAAAATATAACAATTAATTGATTGTTTTCTCATTATTATTGCTTGAACGTTTCGTTTATTTGATTTACCGATCATTGATCTTTAATAATTGTTACAACTTTAATTATTACCAAGCAACTTTAATAGATTAATTGCAATACAAAAGCGTTTCAAGTTGCGCAGAACTATTTTCAGGTTGGTTTGTTTGCTTTTTCATTACTTTTCAATATTATCTTTAAATTTATAAATTAATTTCAATCCAATCAAGAGATCTCAGTGTAAAATCTGTTTCCGATGAATGTATGAAGGTCCTCTTACCATTTGGAAAGGAAATATCTGAAAAACGAAATTGTTCGGGTTCGAGTTAGAATGGATAATCATTTTTTCTCTAAATTTTTTATTCTTTTGTTAATTTGAATGAACACTTTTGTTTTATTGTTATCCATTCAATTCTTACCTTAACATTATTTTGGCTCAAAAGATTCGCACAATGATCCATGTATTGCCTCAGATCTTGCTCCTGAAGGAAAGACAGAAAAGGTTTTTCAATGAATGACTAAAATGAACAAATGTTAATTTGGATGATAAAGGGACGCATAAAAGATTGATTTCGCTTGACACTCGAACAATTCATGTTTTCATTTTAAATTACAAGTAAAATATTAAAAGTATCAAAACATGGATATAAGCAACTAACCAGATACTCGAACACCAAGGTAAGAGTTTTATCAGTGTGTATGATATCGTGAAGTGTCACGATGTTATTGTGCTTCAATCCTCGTAGCAGAGAGACTTTGGTTGATTATATGTGAAAAGGTATCAATAAAAGAGAAAAGAATAGAGAGAAAAAGGTTTAGATATAAACAAAACGATGATACAGAATGAACGTGAATCAGATGAGGCCAGAACATAAAGCAGAGGGGAAAGGACAGAGAAATAAGTAAAGACAATAATGAGTTAAATAAACCAATAAGTTCAATTGAATGAGTAAAAAGACAACCGGATAAGTAGGACACGATTACAGTCTTAAGGTTAGACAAGAGCTACTTTTCAAGAAAAAAACTCAAAATGCTTTTCAACATTGACAAGATTATGGCTTTGATAAAATTGATACAATTGCACCAAAACAAGTAAATGCTATCATAAGTACAATGGGAAAAAAAGATTGAATCTTCAGCTACATTTTACGTTCATTTTTGGTTCACAGATTTTACTAGAAGTTCAACAGACTTCATCTGATAATTTTAAACTTGGAAGCTGTGATAGCAAAAAAGCGCGAGTTAACAATTGAACTTAATCAAGGAGCCAATCTGTTAATTGTTGGTTGTAAAACAAGACATTTAACAGGTTTTTCAATGATTATGAGAATTTGTTTGTTTTATCAAACAATTTGATGAAATGTTTATTACCAACTTTGTAATCATGTAATCATCAGGAAGTAAGTTAATCTTCAAATGCTGTTGATATGCAAAACTATCAGTTTGTACTTACGATTAAACTGAAATGATAATATTCATCTTGAGACCAACGATTATCAATTTAATCGAAAAAATCTTTTTGATAATCATGAATGATTCAACTATCAATGTTCAAAACAAAATCATTTGAAAGTCAAATCTTTCAACTTGATTGGCGGACCTTTTGCTAGCGATTACTCCATTAAAGATCGTCTGTCAAAAGCGTGATTTCGTTGTTCAAAGGTTTGTACATTTATCGTTTAATTGACTTTGATTACTTTGTTTATTCGTTGACATTTGATTAACCCCACTCTTAACCAGACTGATAATTCATTTTATGATGCTTTCATCTTATAAAATTATCCCTCACAAACTAATGTTAAATTGACTCGACAATCAAAGCAATGAAATAGTTCATTTTCATAATTAGACAAAAATTTGAGTTTAAAATATCGTTGAAATTAGCTTCCAGGCCTTCTGAGCCTGAATTCACGAAAAAAGCAAATCTTTGTCGATCATTAGTTTATGATTATTGTACAGCAAATTGGATTGACTGGCAAGTGTTGATCACGAAGATGATAAAGTTTATAATTAAAATTGATTTAATTTTAATAACTTTTCATGTTCTTCCAAGACATTTCAAGTGACATTTATTGCTCAAGCTGAGCAACGATACATGGTTTCAATCTTTACTTTCACCGTTAATCCAATAAGTTGATCAAGGTTGCCATTATCTTAATCTCAACATAAATCATGGTTATCATGAGAATCATATTAACAAGGTTACAGTTGGAACAATTGAAAATGAAAAGTTAAAACCAAAACGAATCATTGAATTGAACTGAAAAATTAAAAGTAATCAGTAATTCACAGAAAAAAGCTCTTGACAGGATTAAATGTAAATATATTTTTCATTGTTAATCAGATAAGATGATGATTTAAGTTGTATAAAGAGACACAAATACGAATAAAAAAGGGTTACTTTGTCATTCAGCATTACCATTAACCATTTATCCATATTATAACTTGTTAACCCTCAATGGAACCTCTCAAGTCTTGAAAAGCAAAGTAAAGATTATGATGATTTGTAACTTTCCAAACATGGTAATGTTTCCATGATTGTAACCTGAGAAGTTTCCGAAAACTTGAATAGTGTAAAATTGATGAAACAGTGTAAATGTTAACAAGAAATACAAAGTTGAATAATCAGGTAAAGAAAGGAACAAAAAATGTTCCAATTCTTTATTCAATTTCTCATTTCATGATATCATGTATAATTATCATCACAGAATGTGAGTAAACAGTGAATGACGAAACTTGCCTTAGGGTTGAAGTGATGTTGATGATGCCACAAATTAAACACAGAATTTAATTTTTCTTTCATTTCTTTTTTTCATTGGGTCGTAATAATTGCTCAAACTCAATACACTTTAATAATATTTCTCATCATTATTAGCCTTTAATCGTTTAGGAGAGTCTAAAGAAGATTAAATGTCTTTAAGGAGGAAAAGGTAAAGATGATGAGAATAATGATTACATTTGTATTGCGTGTGTAACCCATCTCATATTAATTATGATTAACACAGTTGTGTTAAATTGATAACCTTATTGACCTTGTGGGATAACCTTAAAGGTGATTTAATCAACAAATAACTCGAGAAACAATTGATCAACTTTTTTCGATTCAAGTCTTTTCCGTTTTTAATCAAATTGTTATCAAACAATCATTGAGCGTACACAATGTCCTTTTCAATAAGAGCAACAATGAATCATGTTTTATCATAAAATCAGCTTTAACCGTCAAACGTTTACATCATAATCAATATCGATTTAATCAATTTTCCGTCAAAATAATAATGTAAATTCAATGACAGTTTAACTTGAGGTCGGTTAGGGCAGCTTTAGTGTTGAACTAGAATGGTGTTATCGGAAGGTCATCTTAGAGATCAAAGTAACGGTCGTTCAGTTTAGGTTACAATTGTGAAGATCACACTTTGGGAAAATGAGTGTTAAATGTTTTGGGTTCAAGTTTTGGTTAGCTTCAAATGAATGTTTGATTTACATTTAGATGTTAGTCATCGTGAAATCATGAGTTTGCCTTGAAATTTCTTGCATAATTAAAGGATTGAAAGGATTTTAAAATTTTGTTTTTAATTGAAATTTTAAACGCTCATCAAGAGTTTTAAGACTTTCAATTTTGATAAATTGTTGATTTAATCAAAAGAAAGTAAAGGTTTGGCTATTTCTTTGATATTGATCAAAATGCGTTCAAATGATTGAAGAAATTTTATCATTTTAATCATGGCTTCAGCTTGAATCTCATCAAGTTTGAAGCTGAGTTTCAAAAAAAAATAACGAACCTTAAACTGTAATCTAAGGGAAAATTGTTAAGGTTGAATGAAATGTTGCACTTTAGCTTATCAACAAGCTAACATTGGTTCGTTTTGTAGGCTCAAAAGGTGAAATGAATGTTAATCTCTGTTCTCTGAATTAATTGAAATGATAATCGTTTTGGGTAAAAATGTAAAGAAACGCTTTAAAGTAAAAGCAAAACTTGAACCTCATTTTAGGCTCTTTTTTTGTTCGGGTGAATTGCTTCTGTTGTTACTTTGAATTTGCCTGTTTAACTGTTAACGTCCAAAATAAACACATAAATATGTTTGTTGGACGTTTTTTTTTGCTGCTTTTCCATCATGTTTTCATCCTCATCATTTGCAGCAACCAAAGAAGAGTAAGAAAAAAACTGTGTAACTATGCTTTTCTCGGAAACAAAACAAGCCTATTTTCAAATGATATTTCGTGTAAGGTCATCATCCTTTGTAAAGTGAAAAAAGTCGAGTTTGTGGCAACATTTTTCAGATGAAAAGATCAGCAAGAGCATGATGATGTTTCAATAGAAGAAGACAAAAAAAAGATGTGATTTACTGTTTCAAGATGAAAAGAAATATGAAAGAAAGAAAAGAATGAAAAGAAGAAAAAAAAAGTTGATTCAATAGATGATGAGATTCATGTAACATGATTGCTTCAGAGCAAATTATGATGGATTGGGAGAGTTTCCCTTTTTTTCAAGTTTACTACTTTCTCATCAAATTAACACCTATTATCGTGCAATGATGATCAACATAAAGCCGACACTGAGCATTGTTCATGTTGAAAGTGGAGAAGCTTCAACGATTCATTCAATTGGCAACATTTACCATTGTTTATCATCCATTGACTTTAGGCAAATTTGATTGCTAACCATTTAACCTTTAAGGTGATCCTACAGTTGACCTGTGCAGTTGCCGTGTTCAATCATCTCTTTTTTACCCTCAAATGACCTTTCGCCAGTTAACTTGATATATATTTAAAGACGGGCCAAAGGTAAATGATGTAATTTGACAAATTTGTTTGACATTAATTTACTTTGCTTTTTAAAGCCGAGAAGATGAAGAAGTTGGTAAAACTAAAAGGAAAAGCAATTTTAACATTTTAAATGTTGACTTCATCTGCAAGTTCAACTTTTTTTTCCTGGCTTATCATCAACTTTATGCAAGGTAATCAGACTCGGAATTTAACCTTTAACCTTCCAGGTTTGGTGAGAAGAGTCAAAACGCTAGTTGGCCTTATCAAACATTGGACCATTTAATGAGAATAATGGTCAAGAGAAATGTAATTAACAGCAAGACAAACAGGGAAAAGATGAACAAAGTTGACATTTTCAAATGCTTCTGATTAACTGCATTTTAACGCTTTGTACATTTAATTTTTATGCGTTGGTTGAACCTCTTTACCAACCTGACAAAGTCAAGGGTCTTGCATTAACTCACCTAATCTCTTGCCTCTTTATCTGGTAATTTATCTGCCTTTTTTCAATCAGATATATTCAAGCCAAAAGTGCAACTGATTTACTTTGTATCTTTGCCCAAGCAAATACACATCTTTATCTTCGCCATTCACCTCTTCATCTCACGATTTCATCAAAAACTATTGTTATTCCCATTGCTTATTGTTGTTCACCTCTTAATGCTCTCATCACATTTGACTGGAAAAAGGTCCATACTTCAATTAAGTTATTTACTAATTGTTTCAATTAATCTGTAGGAATAGAGTTTAAAAGTTAAATTAAATTGAGTTACTTAACCAATTATTAGAATAAGGTTGGTAAGAAAAAGATGTTTTCAGCCTTAAAGGCATATTTCATTACAAAGTTACCAGAAAAAAAAGAGGAAAACATTTGCAACTTTTGATCACTAATCAACTTGAAAAATCTTAACAAATCACAAATAAACATCTTCTTTTAACTTGAATTTTTCATTGTAAATTATCTGGTTAACAATCAACAAAGCAAATGATTAACGCATTCAAGTTAATTAGTTTTTTGTTAACCAGAAACAAATCAAGTTTAATGTTAAATGTTGCAGCAAATAAAAATGAAATAAAGTTTAATCTAACCGCCATCAAATTACAATTAAAATGCTTCAATAAAATGATGATCAAGACTTTAAATTAGTTAGTTAACAGGTTAAACAAAGAGTCAAAACATATTGACTCGAGTCTGGTTAATCCTTAGTTTGTGAACACAATTAATGAGCTTGAATCAATTGACTATCATGATAAGGATAATGAGTGAAAATGAATTGTATGAAGTCTATCGATTGGCAATGAAACCATTTTTGATAAATTTTAACCTAAAAGTCAATCTTCATTTGGGTTTTGTTTGGTAACCTTTTCAAGTGGATCCACTTGTTCAACTCAAATACTGATTAAAATACAACAATTTATTGATTGTTTTCTCATTATTATTGCTTGAACGTTTGTTTTATTTGATTTACCGATCATTGATCTTTAATAATTGTTACAGCTTTAAATTATTACCAAGCAACTTTAATAGATTAATTGCAATACAAAAGCGTTTCAAGTTGTGCAGTACTTTTTCAGGTTGGTTTGTTTGCCTTTTCATTACTTTTCAATATTGTCTTTGAATTTATAAATTCAATTTTAATCATTAAACCAATTACATTGATTATTAAATAAGCAAAATAATTTTGTTTCAAACAAATGAAATGGCAATCAAAAGTGAAATTGATTGTAAACATTTACAGTTTAAACGTAAAAATTGATGTCTCTTTTTTTGAGGCTTTTTCTTGTCTTTTTATTTGTCATCATTGACGATCTTTGATGTTGCTGGAAATTAATTTTGGTTACAATTTGGTGAAATCAAAAAATAACATTAAAACTGGTAAAAGCTGCAAAAAGTTGCAGGAAAAATGAAGTATAAAATGAGAATATGATAATCTCTTGAAAAGTGGTGCATTCAGATAGTTAATGATGAAATGGAAAGTTCAAGTCACAATAAATCAGCTAAATTTGTTTTGTTGATTAGGATGGAATTTAATTGATTGTAGCAAGAGATAATTTAAATTTATTGAATTTACCATTCTTTGCAGATGAATTGTCGTCCTTCACTTTGAATTGTTGCGACTGTGACTGTGAGATTTTAATTTTACTATCCGATTGAGAGGTTTTAATGAATTTAGGTGTAGATGAATTGAAGCGTAATTTTATTCCCGGTATTGAAAGGATTGAATCAGTATCTTTTAATTCATGTACTTGTGGACCGAATGAATCAAAATACCTGTGCCTCATTGCGGCATCAGCTGTTATCCGAGAAGTTGGTTCGTACTGTAATTAATAAGAGATCAGGGAAAGAAGAAAACAATTGATTAATAAGGTTATCAGAATAAAGTAGCTATCAGAGTGAAATTGATTTGGGAAAAGCATTTCAACAATTTGATCAACAATTCAACTGTAAAATCAACAACAACAATTTCGATTAAAATTTGTCGATCAATCGAAGTTATTTCAATTTGATCAAAATCTAGATTCTGAAGATTGAAAATTCATTAAAATCGTTGACTCATAAAAAAATGAAAACGATTGCTAATCAAATAATGATCACCACTTTTAGATTATTGCAATTCACTTTTAAAAAATTTTGAAGTTCAAGAGTTCAAGTTTTCGCTCCTCAATAAATCAAGTTTTTGTTATTCAATGAATAATTAGCTCATGAAATAATCAAAGTCTAATTTGGTTAATGTTATGATTATATACGAACCTCTAAAAATTTGAAAAGCAGATCAAATCCATCGGCATCTAATCGACGGATTCTTTCCCCAAGAGATCTTTTATGATGAGAATACTTTATCCGCATGGAATCGGGTAATTCAATATTGGAGTTTACTTTAATATTTTGAAACAGTGAGTTCCATGTATCTTCACTTGGACTGCCCATTATTTTGAAAATTAAATTAAGCTGATGTTCAACGTTATTACCCATAAACATGGGCTTGTCAGTAACCATTTCATGAAAGATACATCCAACTCCCCACATATCGATAGAGGTTGTATAATGTGTTGAACCTAAAAGGACGTCCGGTGGTCTATACCAAAGAGTTACCACTTCATTGGAGTAAGTTTTGGTCGGAACAGATTTTGCTCGCGCTAAACCGAAGTCGGCCAATTTAAGTTCACCTCTATCGTTGATTAAAAGATTTTGTGGCTTTAAATCTCGGTGTAAAATTTGTTTCCGATGAATGTATGAAAGTCCTCTTAATAGTTGGAAAAGAAAAATCTGAAAAGACGAAAATTGTTTTGGGTAATCAATTTTTCTCTCAATTTTTTATTCTTTTGTTAATTTCAATGAACACTTTTGTTTTATTGTTATCCATTCAATTCTTACCTTAACATTATTTTGGCTCAAAAGATTCGCACAATGATCCATGTATTGCCTCAGATCTTGCTCCTGAAGGAAAGACAGAAAAGGTTTTTCAATGAATGAGAAAATGAACAAATGTTAATTTGGATGATAAAGGGACGCATAAAAGATTGATTTCGCTTGACACTCGAACAATTCATGTTTTCATTTAAATTACAAGTAAAATATTAAAAGTATCAAAACATGGATATAAGCAACTAACCAGATACTCGAACACCAAGGTAAGAGTTTTATCAGTGTGTATGATATCGTGAAGTGTCACGATGTTATTGTGCTTCAATCCTCGTAGCAGAGAGACTTTGGTTGATTATATGTGAAAAGGTATCAATAAAAGAGAAAAGAATAGAGAGAAAAATGTTTAGATATAAACAAAACGATGATACAGAATGAACGTGAATCAGATGAGGCCAGAACATAAAGCAGAGGGGAAAGGACAGAGAAATGAGTAAAGACAATAATGAGTTAAATAAACCAATAAGTTGAATTGAATGAGTAAAAAGACAACCGGATAAGTAGGACACGATTACAGTCTTAAGGTTTGACAAGAGCTACTTTTCAAGAAAAAAAAACGCAAAATGCTTTTCAACATTGACAAGATTATGGCTTTTAAATGTGATAAAGGTGATACAATCGTAGGTTTGTTTGGCAACGAAAAGGGCCAAATACAGAATTGAATAGTTGAATAATTGGTTGGATAAAGGAAATTTCTTACCTTCTCTTATAGCAGTACAAGGTGTTCCCTCTTCATGTGCAAATCTAATCTCTTTGAGAGCAACCAAAGCACCATTTGCTCGGCTTTGTCCTTTATAAACAGTTGCATAGGTTCCTTCACCGAGTTTGGAGATTTTTAGGTAACTTTCTAATTTACCAAAACCTGGTTCACTCATTATAAAATATAAAATAAACAAGTAAATGACAAACAGATATAATACAAAAAAACAATAAACAAGATTTATAATAATAAAAATGTAATCACAGCTATCTTGTTCTTGTATAAGATATTACCAGCTGGTTAGCTGCACAGCCATCTGGTGAGACTTTTAGGCGACCCAAATATAAAAGCATTCAATTTTAAACGTTATTTCATCTCTTTTCAACTGTTGGTTGTCATTTCAATTGAGTTTGCTGTTCAATTTTGACTGATTTGTGTAAACACATGGAAGCTAAAGAATTTTATGAAAAGGTTGGTTAAAAATGTAACGATTTGGTGAATGAATTTCAACAATTTGAACCAAATATGTTTAAGTAAATATCTAAAAGTGATTCTGGTTATTAGCTATTTATGGATGAAACCACTGGTTACCTTGCAAATCATGATACTTGAGTGATTATTAATTGGATATGAATTCGTGTCTTGTCTTTATTGTGCCATATGACATGACAGAAGTTGACTTTTGATGAACATCATCGGGTTATTTTGCATTATTATTGTGACAAGTAACTGATTAAATCGATATTGATTATGATGTTTGACGGTTAAAGCTGATTGCGATGATAAAACATTCATTGTTGCTCGCATTCAAATGGACATTATTCAATGTGTACAATGATTGACTCTTGTTTGATGATAACAATTTGATAAAAAGAAAAGCGGAAAAGAATTGATAAATGAAAAGTAATTGATTCTGATAACATTTTCCAGAAAAACAAACATCACAAAGAAACAGTTTAATCTTATTTTTCCAATCAAATGAGGAAAAAAATATTCCAAAATTTTTCAACTTTCGTTTCCTCACTTAAATCATGAATTAATTTTACAGCAACTCATACAAGAAGCATTTAAAAAATAGAATCGATCAAATTTCAATAATTTGGTAAATAAATGCAAACAATCGTTTCGCATTTCAAGATCTTTTGTTTTTCTGGTTCTTTGTAAGGAAAGCTCTGGTTCATTCATTTATTTAGCTTGATATTTATGTTGATGTTACTGGCTTAAGAATCGGAAGTTATCATGATTTGAGTGATGCTACTGGCACAATGTTTCCGTTCTGTGAAGCATATGATTGGGACTAAAGAATCATGAATTTTTGATGTTATTAACTGATGAGTTCAATACTAGAAAAGTAAAAATGAAAGAATCTGGTTTTCACCCAAATTTTTGGGCTAAAGGTTACATTTGAAATCTCAATTTTCCGATACTTTAGCAGCTTCAGAAGCAAACCTTTCCGATCACCTTTCAGAAACTGTTATCAAACGATTATCACGATCAGTAATTGATGATTGTAGTTGATTCTGATAACATTTAAAGCACTTAATTACTGTTGAGATCCATTTTCACAACCTAAAGACTCGAGTCAAAGTTCAGTTTGTTTTTACTCAAATGTCATCGGATTATTTTGCATTATTATTGTACCAAGCAATTGATTAAACATGAAGCAACAGATGATTCATCGCATGAGACAATATTGTAAGTTGATTTCCTGGGAAATCTCGAGATGTTTTGATAAAAGTAAAAGTTTTTTGCTCATTTTTTGAACAACTTCAACATTTACTCAACAGTCTAACAGCTTGGATGATTCAATATCGCGTCATCAATTTTAGCTTTTTTTATGCTCATTTGAGATGGACGTCAAAAGGCCCACTGATCACAATGGCAACCTCTTTCGATGACTAATATTTATTCAATCATAATTCAAAGTCCATCTCAATTTATCAGCTCAATCAAAGCGTCAACCGACCGTCCATTTTTATACCGGATCACCTTTGACACACTAACCATGGTGACAACAATTATGACTAGAGTTGATTTGATGCTAATAAACATTGTGAGGCATGAAAAGCACGAAACATTTTATGAGTCAACCAAAAATATATTGTTTAACCATTCAAGTTTGTTAGCTTCATTCACTTGAATGATTATAAAAAAAGCTCATTTTCAGCCCAAAAAAGCTGTTTATTTTGCTGTTCAAAGATGTAATACTTTTTTTTAACAAGAAGCTGAATAAACTTTAGCTGTAAGGTAAACCTTGTGATGCCAACTGTTAAGCGTATCAAGTCATCTAGTCCTGGGCTTTGGGTAAAAATATATCGATAATCATTTGTCCATTTTGTGCTTGTTGCACGATAAATCACTTGAAACTAAGAGGCCAATGAGGCGTGTAAATGGTTTCCCTCGGCCCATTGGAACCACTAAACCAGTGGCGATCAAGATGATGAGCTAGCTCAAGATAACCTTAAAGAAGGGAAAACCTTATTCACCATCTTTAACATCATCTCCTAACCATCATCTCCTTACCTAGTTAATAGTTGATCATGATTAAGGTCCAAACATTTTTAATTAATAGCTCTACTTGCATTTTGTGGTGAAAAAAAAGAAGTCGAAGATGAAAGTTGAAACAAAGTTTTCATCTTTTCTTCATCTCTAGTCTTTCAAACAACTTATCAAACCCTTAATTGTTGTCCATTGATGAAGCTTATTAAACGTTTATCATTTGAGAAATATTAATAGGCAGTTAGTGAAGGAAAAAGTTTATCAGAAGGAAAATAAATGACAGATTCAGTAGAGATGATGAGGATGAAAAATCGTGTTAAATCAGGTAAGACGATGATGATGCAGAGAGAAGGTAATTGATGAACATTTGGGAGGAGGAAAAGATGAAAATATTAAAAAGATGAGTTGTTTACTCAGAAAATGGAAAAGAAGAAATTTCATGGAGAAAAAGGTAAAAGTTATTTTGAATAATAAAATATGATAACAATAAAGATTAAGTTTATTATTTTCATGGTTACCCTAATATTTACCCGAATGTGATCCGCCCAATGAAATGAATTGCAACGTTTGTACGCTCATTTCATCGCCTTGAGCATTGGGTTCAGGATTATCATTATTCACCTCAAGATTATCATTATTGAGCTAAAACCTGTTCATCATCAAAAAATATTGTAAAATCAGGTTAACATTGTTACAAGGGTTTCAATTTCTTCATGGGTTTGGTTTTTTTTTGTTTGAGCTTTTTTTCACCCAAAATTTGCTCCTTTTGTAACAGATAACTTTAATTGGTTTGAAAGTCTCTTGAGTCTCATGGAGCAAAATTTCAATATTTTGTTTTCACATTAAATTCACTTTTAAAATTGTTGATTAATTTTGCCGTTGATTGTGTTAATTGTTCACTTGTTTTTGTTTTCGTCTCAGAGTGTGCCTTAAGTGTGCCTCAGCTTCAACAATTAGCATACAGAAATCATTAACTGTTATAAATTAAGTTATTAATTAACAATTATTTTAATTTTAAAAACGATGAATAGCAATGGTTACAGGAAAGCTTTACGAGTGAGGTAATTGTTATTTACATTTTAAAGTGATTAATGCAATCGAGTTTATCCGGTTGATCGTGGTCTCATCTCAATATCATTCAACTGACTCGATGAAAGTTCTGGCTTCTGGTGGTCAGTTTCGATGATATAATTGACCCTAATAAACATGAGTTTTGATCAAAACTGTGTATGAAGGTTTTGAATCAATACTCAAAGCATGACCTAAAAGCTTGTCACCAAATAAGTTTCACTTTGTTAAACAATAAAGTTAAACAATAAAGTTATTGTTAATAATTTTCAGATTCAACTATTGAATGATCAAAGAAGGATATCAAAAATGATCTAAGCTCAGAATTTTTTCAATCATATTTTTGGTGTTCTGAATTTAGTTGTGCTCAGAAGAATCAGCTTGCTTTAAAACCTATTAGTTGTTAAGTAATTGGAATATCTATGGCAAAAACAATGAAGTTTGAATGAATGTCTCTTCGGCAGGTAGCAATATCTCTCATTGTCTGAAAAACTGATTGACTACAAATTTTTCAGGTCAAATCTTAGTTCAGTTACTCGATAATAAATTGAACTTGAGACTAATATGAATAATTGGTGGCTTAGTTTTGAAAATGTTGCTTTATAAGCTTTCCATTAATAGCATTATCATCACTAGTTTAATGACAGTTTATTCAGAGACTTGACTGTTCCGAGAGGCATTAGTGATCGGGTTATTTTCATTGTACTTTGTATTACATTTAAGTTGAAGCAACTTACAGCTTACTTTTTAGTGATAAGTAAAAATTTAATCTGATGAGTTGCATGACTCGAAACATTATCGATTAATTTTGAGCAAGAAACTGATATCAACTGTCCAAGTACTTAAAAAATGATCATTAATTGGTGACTAGAATTGAGTTGATCAATATTACCTTGCCCTTTGAATACTCAAGACTGTTCCAACAAGCTGTTAAGACTGTAATTTGAGTGAAAACAGTCATTGGGTTGTCTCAAATCTTTCCTTGCTTTTCAAGTAACCAAACCCAAAAATTCCTGTATTGATCATAAGGTTATTTATCATTTTATTCAAAAGGTAATGACATAAAGATGTAAAGTTGCGTATAATCATTGGAATAATTTTTAACCATCAATTTGATAGCAAAAGTTAATCCAACTGTATTGATCTGAATGGTGCATAATCATGTAATCATTTGATTCCAATAAACATTTCACATGTATTACCAGAACCGCACTTGAAACGGTCAATTATTGGTAAAGACGGAAAAGTAGTTAACAAAATGGTCTGTAAAGATTGAAAATAAACTTGAATAATTCCCAATAATCACCTTTAATCATAATCATCAACATCAGAAGCTTTAATCTCTCCATGAGTTATTCCATAATCAAGTCAATCAAGTCTACAAAAAAACGTTTCAATTGAAAAGCTAACCACTGGTTAAGTTGATCATTTTTAAGGATAAACTTATTTCTTCTCATTTTACAGTTTAGTTTCAATGCTACACTTGGCTTTATCATCAACATCACAAGGCAACACACAGCAGGTAAACTGAATCACTAGAAGTTGATAACTTGCCCTTTGACCTCGGGTTCCATATGCTTTCCCAAAAACTGGTAATACTTGATACAAATAATTGAACCTGAAGACAACAATGAGAAGCAAAAAAATAGTTTAAAGATAAACTCAATGGAACGGAAATTCGCGATTCCATCAACAAGTGCAACTTATTGTCCAAATTACATTTGCAATCTAAATGATAA